GTGTTCAAATAATAGAAGCTGACATTTTTGGACTAACATTATGTAATTGAAACACAAAATATAAGTATTAGAGGGATTACACAAGAGGTTATAGTTAATATGGGCAGATGATTTGCTGGAGCTGTTGGTAAATTTATGTAATTGATTTTGCTGTGATAATGTATACATGTATGAACAATTGTGTGAATATGGTGTTGTGTGTTATAGGAAGTAGGTGATGTCTTAAGTCTTTTGGTTATGTCATTTGAATCAAGAGGGTTAAAGTTCTTGATCGGAAAGAATGATTATATTTGTTCTTTGGCAGTGAATGGCTTATTTGTACTTGACTGTGACCCACCCACCATTCGATTGTAATTTGGCCAGCTGCTATTAGACATCACTCAGCATGACTAGTTGGAAGACAACCATGTAAAAATAGTGTGAATAGAATAAACGTCTGTAATGAACAAGGAAAAAATAAAGTTTTTATTTTTTATCTTAACCATCAATATACAACAAGTTTACAAAAAAATTCGAGTAAGAATAAAGTAAAAAGTTGAACCAATAGGAGATACAGGTGATGGTTGAATTATCTCGCCTGGAAGAAAATAAAAAAACAAGTGGTAAGGATTATATATTGTAATGAATGATTTGAGTAAGGTGTTGAGTAGAGGAATGTTCAATAGGAAGAACATTGTTGAAATGCTTTGGATATGATTGGACTTTCCATAAATTAAATCTTGAGGCACATTGTAAATAACTAGTGAGAGGATGCCGAAAGCACTACCGTGCATTCAAGCATCCCCTCAATGAAAACACAGGTTATGCACATTATAATGAGGTAAATTAGTGTTGTAAACGGAGTGTCATGATAAAATCTGGTATGATGTGCATGGAACGATCTCATGGTGCAAAAGCAGATAAGTGTCAACGGAAGACCCAAATGATAGATATCACCACCGACCAATTTGGTAGTAGTCATATTGCCGAAAATACTATATCTTGTTGTTTTCAATAAGTATATGTGCAGCAACAATAAACTGTACAAAACCAGTAGTTAACTGTTTACAAGACAGTATTATAGACCCATATCATGCAAAGTTACAGGGTGTTGTACAAATATACCCCCTTACTTTT